TGAGGAACCTGGACGCACCAGCTCGAGCTGGAGCCGGTTGACAGGAGGTAAACCAAGGAGGCGAAGGGACCCAGTCTCTTTCCAACTCAGCCCACGAGCCTCCCAGCCCAGCCCTGCGGACACCAGCGGGACGCGAATTGTGTCTGGACGGGTTGGGGCTCCGCGAGACAGATGGGACCCGGGCGACCTAGCAGAGGGACCGGAGAGCGCAGAGCAGGCCGGTGCGGGGTGCAGGGGCCGGGCGCGGGGGCACTCACGCAGGCCACCACGTCCCTCCTCGCGGACGCCAGCAGCTCCAGGGTGGGGGCGACGCCGGGAAACAGCTCGGGGCTGGGCAGGCTGCTCAGCACGGCCTGGGCGTCCGAGAGGCCCCGGGCCACCAGGCGGAGCCGTGCGCACGACTGCGGGGACTTGGCGGAGTTAGAGACGCCGCGACCCGCCGGCCCTGTCCCCCCACCCCCACCCCACCCACGCGACCCGCGGGGCTCACCCAGGGCAGCGGGGGAACCCTCCGTGGGCGGGAAGGAGCAGTTCCGCGGCCTCCAGCTCAGCATCTCTTCCTCCTGGGCGGGACAATGGTGGGGCTGAGGCTGCGCCCCTCGCCTGTGCCCTGAAGTGCGGGGAAGTCGGGGATTCATGCCCGTGACCCGACTGTGTGGTGCAGGGGTCGTGCGTACTGTGCACGGAGCCTCAGAGTTCCCCGAGGACGAGGACGGGAAAGGGGAATGAAATGCACCCCTTGCGGAGCGCTGCACCCCGACGTGAGCCGGGTCCGCCTGGGGGCGCCCTTTTGTGAGTGGCAGGAAGGTGCTTTCTGTGCTTAGGATGCAGCTGGTCAGAATTCAGACCTGAGATCCGAGATGCGCCTGCGTGACGCTAGGATGCCATGGCCAACCCTGGCGGGACCAGGGTCCCCTGGGACTGGGGGTCCGGGCATCACTCACGTAGTGGTCCCTCAGCGCCTTGACCGCCTCCAGCGCCCTGGGGTCCAACCAGCGGTAGTGAGAGAGGGAGCAGCGCCTGGGTTCGGTCACACCCGGTTCCGCCACCACGTTCACTGTCACCAAGACCCACAGCCCCACGGACACCGCGGCTGCACCATTGGGCCTCATCTCTGCTCCTGCACAAAGCCAGGGACGTCGGGCAGTCCGAGAGAAGGCCCCGGGTCCAGCCCCTGCCTCCTGTTAGACTGGCAGGGGGACGGATGTCAGGGGGCTGGCTGCGACCCCTCCTGCCCGCAGCCTCTCTCCCCTCACTGCTCACCTGCAATGTGCCCTCCGTGCTGGAGCTGGGCTTGCCTTCCTCTGTCCCCTGCCAGCTGTCCAGAGTGTTGTCCACCTTTGACAGCGGTGTCTGCACCTCCATGGCCGCTTTTATGCTCCTGACTGAGGAATGGCGAGCCGCTGGGCTTCCCCGTTCAGGTTAAGTTTTCGGAACATCAGCGCTGGACGCTGGCCCACTGGGATGCTGGCTTAGGCCTGAGGACTTTGCCTGCCTGTCCCTGGGTGCCAGCAATGGCTCTGGCCTCACTCTCTGTGACCAGTTCTCCTCTCACGCTCTCTGTAGACTCTCTTTTCATCAACCTTCTTGTCCTTTTCTCTGTTTAATATAATAATGAGTCCTTATTAGTGCTTACTGTGTAGTGGGTGCTGTTCTAAGTAATTGATACAGATATCTCATTTAATTATCAAAAAGGGACCCTCCAAATGATGTCCTATGAGTACTTCTGTTTTCTGGATGAGAGAACTGAGGCACGGTGACGTGAAGGAACTTTGCCAGTCACTGTGAGTGTCAGAGGGAGCATTTGCACCCACATACTGCCCAGCTTCAAAGCTTGTTCTCTTTGCTGTATTTTCTCCTAAATACCTGATTCAAACTTCCTCTATATGTGTCTTCATCTCATTCCATCTCTCTGTCTTCCCTCTGCATGTGACTCCTGGTTTGTCTTGTCTCTTCTTTCCACTCTGTCTCTGTCTGCTCCATCTCTCTCATTCCTCTTTCAACAAATAACCAGGCCAGGGTCTCTCTGTCTCTCTCCGTTTGTCTGTCTGTATCAATCTCCTGTTTTAGTTTAAAAATCAAATCTACTATTTCTTTTTCTGACAAAATTAACAATGCAGGCTTATGACTAAAGCCTGAAAAATACAGAAGTGCATAAAGGAGAAAAAAACCCACCTATAATTCACGCAATTCTCTCCCTTCATCCCACATCTGGAATAATTTTTCCAATGTGTAGAAGTTTTACATGTATTTATTTGTGCCAAAGCAGCTCATTCATTGCAAAGATTCAGTTCATACAAAAAGATACAACTTGGAGAATTAAAGGAAGTCCTCAGGAAACCTCCTTGGAGGTCATTCTTTTGAACAATTAGTAGCTATTACTCCTCTTTCCCCCCTTTTATGAGCAATTTCTGCCAAAATGGAACCAGGCTGTGGAGTGTGGTTGCCTGCTTTTCATGTCTCATTTGCATTCACCAGATCTTTATTATGCTGTATCAGTTAGGGTCCCCAGCAGAAAAACGATGGTCCAATCCATTTAGGATAATTTGAGGTGGGTTTAATACCAGGAGTATTTACAAAGGGATTGGATAGTTGAAGGGGAAGGCCTTGGGGCCTTCTGGGAGGAGGTCTGTCATCCCTAGGCCTTAAAGAAGGGGAGAGGGGAGGGAGCAATATTTTTATTCTCTTAACAGTGTCCTTCATAGAATTGAAGATTTACATTTGAATGAAGTCCTATTCATAATTTTCTTTCTTTCATGGATTATGCATTTGATGTATCTAAAGTCATCACCAAGCAAGCCCAAGGTGCCCTCATTTTTCCCTCTGCTATATTCTAGTTTTATAGTTTTGCACTTTACATTTAGGCCCATCATACATTTTGAGTTAATTTTCATGAAATGTATAAGGTCTGTATCCAGATTCATGTTCTGTGCAGGTGAATGTCCTGTTGTTTCAGTACCATTTGTTGAGAAAACTATCCTTTCTCCCTTGAACTGCTTTTGCTTTTCTCAAAGATCAGTCGATTATATTTGTGTGGGTCTACTCCCGGACTTTCCATTCTGTTCCATTGCTTTGTCTCTCCTTTCTCCAATACTGTCTTGATTACTGTAGCTTTACAGTAAGTTTTGACGTCAGGTAATATCAGCCCTCCACCTTTGGTCTTATCCTTTAATGTTGTGTTAGTTATTTGAATTTCTGTGTAA